GATCTGACCAATCATAACGCCGAATCTGCCCTTTTTTCCAACAAACAAACCAGACAGGGGAGTATATTAACGATGGTGGACTTGAACTTGAAAAATTGTGCGTATAGACGTCTTTCCACGGTTGAAACAAGATACCTTCTGATGTTCATTCATGTTTATTTCATAAAATAACTAGTAAAGAGGAAGAGATGATCAGTTCACATGCTGCTTGAACTGAGGCGCTACAGTGATCTGTCATGACACGTTAAAGAGCCGCAAAACTTTATTTATTGTGGGAATTTCTTCGAAAATGACCAAATTTGAAAGCTGAGACGTTGTTACATACCTAAAGTAAGTGTTGTCCGTTTTCTCTTTGCTCCGCAAAGTATTTTTCACTGTATGAGAACATGATGTGTGGCGTGAGAGCGCCATGGCTTGTCGGACATAGCAACAGTAACTAAAGGGGGCGGGTCTTTATGAAGGGTCAATTGTGTTGATTACCACAAAAATTCCCTCTTGGTAAAAAAAAAAAAAAAGGCACAAATTTTTGAGTGAATGGGTTCAATCTGTAAATATTAAAATTCTTACTTTCCGCAATTTAGTCGCAAACTTGTGCACGTTAACACAATTTTAGCATGAAAAAATAATTTACTTCACAGAGCCCCTAAAGGAACCTTTGCAAAAATAAAATATCCATTGACTTTTGCATGCGAACAAGAAAAGAAAAAATTACTAGCATGGAAAATGTATTGTGCAAACACGAAAATTTCACATAAGCATGCGAATGTTTCACATAAGTATGCAGAGGCTTCACATGCTTGTGCAAACTTTTTCTTATTTGTGTGCAATAGTCTGATTTCTTTTTTAAAATTATAGTCATAGTATACTAATCTTTTCTGTGTAAAGTTATCAGGTGATCTGACCAATCATAACGCCGAATCTGCCATTTTTTCCAACAAACAAACCAGACGGGAGTATATTAACGTTGGTGGACTTGAACTTGAAAAATTGTGCGTATAGACATCTTTCCACGGTTGAAACAAGATACCTTCTGATGTTCATTCATGTTTATTTCATAAAATAACTAGTAAAGAGGAAGAGATGATCAGTTCACATGCTGCTTGAACTGAGGCGCTACAGTGATCTGTCATGACACGTTAAAGAGCCACAAAACTTTATTTATTGTGGGAATTTCTTAGAAAACGACCAAATTTGAAAGCTGAGACGTTGTTACATACCTAAAGTAAGTGTTGTCAGTTTTCTCTTTGCTCCGCAAAGTATTTTTCACTGTATGAGAACATGATGTGTGGCGTGAGAGCGCCATGGCTTGTCGGACATAGCAACAGTAACTAAAGGGGGCGGGTCTTTATGAAGGGTCAATTGTGTTGATTACCACAAAAATTCCCTCTTGGTAAAAAAAAAAAAAAAGGCACAAATTTTTGAGTGAATGGGTTCAATCTGTAAATATTAAAATTCTTACTTTCCGCAATTTAGTCGCAAACTTGTGCACGTTAACACAATTTTAGCATGAAAAAATAATTTACTTCACAGAGCCCCTAAAGGAACCTTTGCAAAAATAAAATATCCATTGACTTTTGCATGCGAACAAGAAAAGAAAAAATTACTAGCATGGAAAATGTATTGTGCAAACACGAAAATTTCACATAAGCATGCGAATGTTTCACATAAGTATGCAGAGGCTTCACATGCTTGTGCAAACTTTTTCTTATTTGTGTGCAATAGTCTGATTTCTTTTTTAAAATTCTCTTTTGGTGTGTCATAGTATACTAATCTTTTCTGTGTAAAGTTATATACATTTTCACAGCTTTGTTTCACATGCACTCCAAGCACTTGCGCTACTTCCGACAACAGGACTAATGGATTTGGAACGTCTGCTTTTAAGCGTCCAGTGTAGACAGCCTCAAGCTGTAACAGTGTAACACCAATTGTTGTCCTTTTTTGATGAATGAGGGACAAGATGAAGTAATCAACACTATACCACAAATCCCATTAGTTGAGGTAACTGGTACTGAACCCAGAATATTCCTTTAATTAATGCATGATGCTGTCTAAAGCAAGGTTATCCTCACAGGATATAGATAATTTTTTACTGTTATCCTAAATATGTCTCTTTTTCACAGATTATACAGCCTTATTGTCCTCCCCTACCTGCACACTTTGGGTTGGGACATTCGCTAGCCAGGTTTAAATAATGGATCAGATTGGACGGTAGGTCACACGAGCTGAACGGGAGGTTCTGGGACTTGATGGTGCGTCCTGCCAGCTCCATCAGGGATGGAGGGTCGTAGGTCATATCCTTGATGAAGCGCACAACAAGAGGGTTTCCACGCAGACTGAGCTCCTGCAAATGGACAAGGCTGAGGATCTCACGAGGGAGGAAGGTCAGCAGGTTGTTGTGGAGACTGAGAGAGAGCAGGGAGTGTAGTCTGCAAGGACAGAAATCAGATGATACCATTAAAAAAATCACATAACTTCTCTGACTGTACAACATACAGTAAGAAACAAAAGATCTCACTTGTTGAGCTGGGGCGGTATGCTTTGGATGCGATTGTCACATAGAACCAGGTATCTCAGACTGATGAGGTTAGCCACCTCAGGTGGGATGGAGGAGATGAGGTTTCCTCCCAAATACAGCATCTCTAGACTGTAGCATCACATAACAGAGGTCAGAAGTTGAAGACCCATGACATTAAAATCAAAGTTTTGTAGCTTTGTTTGTGTTAGCTTTGAGGCTTAGCTATACAGTATGCTAACATACTCCTACAAATTGACCAAACAAATTTGAGCAGATTTACTACCTGGAAAATTGCACCAAATACTAATTTCTCATCTTGCCAAAGGGGGTGTGTTTAAATCTTTTTTAAAAAGCCTGAATGAGAATGTGTCTGTTTTTAAATGCGAATATTAATATGGGAAAAGCTAAAGCGGTATTACTGTAATGTAGAGGTAAGCAATCATACAATGAGGATAAAAACACACCAATAGTGGGAAGTTCAGAGTTCATCTACTGTAAATACAGAATTTAGCAATGCAATGATGAAACAGGAAGATCTCATTTTAACTTTCTAAGTTTGAATGAAACGAGAGATCATTAACTTAAGAGTAAACAGACTGTTATGTCATGTTTAATTATTTGCCATAGAGTACTTAAGCAGTTCTCCCATTCTGTTGGTTAGTCTTTTACCCATAAGCCCCACCAACCAACCCCAGGCCATGCATTCAACTACTGTCTAGTTTTGTAACACTGATCCAAGCCAGATGCAAATCTGTACAAGGATCTCAACAGCCTTCAAGAGATACAGTATATGGTCTAAAGCATGTAGCTGTATAACTTTACAACAGCAACACTGCTTTAACAAACAATCAAAACAGCAAGGCTTATTTGACATCAAAACAAAAAAATTTAAAATGCTGTCTGATCGCTCTCGCAGTACTTTGATGTCATACACAGAACAGTCTGTGCAGTGTTACTTCAAGTCAAACACATTTTGTGTTTTATTAGGAGATGCACAACAGTTCTTCTGTGGCTTTATAGGTAATATTTTCACTTACACAATTTAGCAAAATCAGACAATATTGTGTCTAATATAAACCACAATATTAACTTCTCATTATTGAATTGTTGTAAATAAATATCACATTTGGAACTGGTCAGTGCTAAAAAAAAATGCTTGGAAATCACTTCATGTAGCCCTACAAGAGTGATTACTGATAAACTGTCTGAAAAAAAGACACCCACTGACTTTCAAAGCTGCTAACGACTTTCAACTTTGAGGATCTTGATAGAAATGTAGTGGAGTGAAAAGTACAATATTTGTCTTTCAAATGTAGTGAAGTTAAAGTCACAATTTTCCAGAAAAAATAATACTCAAGTAAAGTACAGATACTCAAAAAGTGTACTTAAGTACAATACTCAAGTAAATGTACTTAGTTACTGTTCGCCTCTGCATTACAGACACTTTAAATGGGCTTGTGCACATCTGGGGTGTCCAATAGGTCTTTCGCAAAAGGCAATGCTAGTAGATCGCACATCATTTAAAGGGTTAGTTCACCCAAAAATGAAAATTAGTCCATGTTTTACTCACCCTCTAAGCATCGTAGGTGTATATTTTTCTTTTTTTAATGGGGTTATATGATGCGATTTCAAGTTTTCCTTTTTCTTTGGAGTGTTACATAATGTACAGTATTTGAAAAATAATGTGTATTTTGAACATTAAAGCATGTCAACATATTCTGTTCCACCAAATACACAAAATAATGATCTTTAAAAAAGCATCATATGACCCCTTTAAACGAATCAAGTCGGAGTTATATTAAAAAATGTTCCTTGCTCTTTCAAGCTGCATGGGCGGGTGTTTTTGTTCAACAGTCCAAAAGTAGTCAAATAAAGTGCATCCATCCATATTAAAACTTGCCTCATATGGCTCTGGGGGGTGAATAAAGGCCTTCTGTAGTGAATCGATGCGTTTTTGTAAGAAAAATATCATATCAATATCAATATTTGTTGCGCGGCACCGCCCTGCTCGCTTCCTAGAATCCTAGACACAGTGTAAGGTATGCCTATTTATTTATCTATTGTGGTAATTTGCAGGTCGTGTCAAAAAGTTGTTAGTCTAGATAAAGTTAGTCTTGTGTAAGATAATTTTCTTCCAAATAGGGGTGTGCGATATTGACAAAAAATAATATCTCGATATGTTCTAGGATTTTATCAATAATGACAACGACTTAAGGTAATTAAGCTGACTCCTAAGGTTTTTGATATTCTTCATATTCTGTGTGATTTCCAATAAGTTTAAACTGATTTTTACATATTATGAGCATTTTTACCTTTATAAAGCCATTTTTTCTAAAAGTGTCCATTATCTTTTGAGTCAAAGTCTTACAAACAGTGAATTAGAATAATAAGACATTTGGCCTGTTACCAAGCAGATGAAATTAACAAAGAAGCTGCATCTGTGGCATTTATATGTATTTACTCACTGTTTAATGCAGGACATGCCTGCAATTAACCTGCAATTACAAATGCATCAATAATGTTTTGATATATTAAACGTAAAACGTTGAATACTGATATTTGAAGTTATTTAAATAATAAATGATACTTTGAATGTGAAATTCAAACCTCCAATAGGTGGCAGCAAGTGACTGTTAATAAGTGAGTCATTGCGAATGAAACGAATCTTTAAACGGTTGATTCATTCAGGAACGAATCACCGTCATGTTGCTCAGAGACGCAAAAGAGTGCTGTTGGCTGTGTTTGGAATTATTTTTGTTGGCGAAATAGCACAAAAAACGTAAGTCTCTTAATTAACTTGTTTATTGAACTGTTGTAAAAAATATATATATATTTGTAATCATGGTAATATTTGGAGTAAAACGGCACTCTATTGATCAACTATATGAAGTTGTAAATGTATACATTTTCTGCCCACATGTCTTGAATTTGTGATCATTCTAAATGCATTTTAATAGACTGAATCATGCAGTGAAGTACGCACTCTAAATGCGTACGAGCACTAATCTAGACTTCACGTAATGTAGGCCTATGCGTGCACTCTGTAGGGGTGTTTTGAATGGTTTTTGCAAAATACTCGATAATGTCAAATCGCACATTGTTAAAACAACCATTACGATATTATCGCAGACAATATATATCGCACGGCCTTACTTCCAAATGCGATAAATTGTGAGCTTCTGGTAGGCTACGATATTTGGACATTTACAATCTGGCAACACTGTAGTGCCTTTTACATGAAAACCTGTTGGCATTCAACAGGCTTACTCTTTTTATCAGCATGAGCCAGGTCTTATACTTAAGTCATAACATTTTGTTTAGTTATAAAACATGTAGCCTAGTCATATTTTATACTACAAGAAAAAAAGAAAAAGTTAAAGTAAATTAAAGTAGCAATTATCTAAGTCTAAGTAATAATAATTTTGATTACACAATAATGGCAATATATACTGTAAACAGAACAATCAGACATGCCCTTTACTCGATTAAACTTGGCCCTTTATTTTAAGTTGCTTTATAGTTTTATTGATTGATTGCCAATTAAGATTAATACACCACATAGATGATTTATAAATAGCTGTAGTATTTCCCTGCTGAAAACAAAAACCCTGTTTAAACCAACCTAAGCTGGTTTGCTGGTTTAAGCTGGTCTTAGCCAGTTTAAAATATCCTCTAGCCCAACCATCTGAAAAAAATGGCCAAATTGAACAAACAGATCAACCTGACCAGTTTTATGTTCTGAATTAATTCTGATTTTATTAATGCAAAGTCATCACAAAATAATGAGGGATTCCTGTTGACATTATCCAATCCCCACTTTATGAAAGGTGAAGTAAATTCTACACTGTACATAAGATACTGTATGTCATATTACAATCATCAAAATTGTGATAAAATGTATAATTATTTCACTATGCAAAAATCTTGTTGATGTTAATGGTCTTTGTACAAAACATATTTTCATATTTTCTGTTAACTTTACAGTAAAAATGAATACACTGTCTTATAGAAGCATTAAAATTACACTGAATGTATAAAAATACTATTACAAAAAGGTTTGCAGTAATTTTCACAACAGGTACAAATCATACAGACTCTTTTATAGTCCCATACAAAAAAAAAAAAGACTATATAAAATACCAGAAGAGAACACACCTTTGAATACATCAATAATTAATAGAATAAACTAAACAAATGAAACTTTCTCACTTTCCATTCAAACACAGGTTGATTGAAGGCGAAATCTGGGCAAAAGTTCATCCCACCTCCTGAATTACTCCTCAAACCTCTTTAGTGGTTTCCTATGGGGGGAAAACAGTTCAAAAGTCACACATTTTATTTGCTTTTAGGTCCATGAAGACCCAGCCAAACAAAACAGACGTCAGGAAGGAAAGTTTCAGCATGGTATGTTAGGGAAAATGCACATCCCATCACATCCAAAGTAGTGCCCTTTAAGCAGTACATGATGGTTTCGACCATTACACTCAGTCCCAACCTGATGTTTATTGAGTTCGGCCACTCGCCGAGTCCACTCCTCCTCCGTCATCTCCTGATCATTTCCCTCCATTTCCTCAAGTGCAGGTAACTTATTTGAACCTGTAAAGAGAGAAAAAAAATCTAATTTCATCCAGCTTTGCTCTCCAAATCCCAGCCTCAACCCCAGTTGCAGAAAAAACAGCAGCAATATCCCAGGTTTTAGCTCACCATCACAAATAACAGCAGTGCAGACCCAGTTCCCGCAGGCACAAACGCAGCGGTTACATTCCATCTGAGTCTCAGCACCATCCTCGTACGTCTCGTCCTCTAAGGCACACTCTAAAAGCATGTAACAGCACTCAATACATATATTATTCAGGCTATATGTTCATACACAGGTCTATAGATGTATTATACTAGAAAGTGGAGCGAGTGGTTGTAGATCTTACTCCTCTCTGGAGGATTGAATCCAGGCCTGAGGCAGTTCAAGAACTCATCAAAGCTCAGTTTCCAGTCGGCATTCTCATCAGACAGCTCAATGAGGGCATCCACACACAGACTCCTGCAGAACACACAGTCACCACTGCCTTTAATATTTTATTGCATTTTTCAGTGCAATATTTTTCTTCATTAAAATCATTTTCATGGACACAATCATCCAAAATTGCTACTGGAATAACTAGTTACCATTTAAAATAAAATTCTCAGCATTATTTTAGTTTCATATAATAGCTCTCTGTGGTTCTCTTTCCTGGTAAAGGACATTACAGAATGTACAATGTACACTAATGTTTAAAAGATTGGGATCAGGAAGATTTTAAAATATTTTTGCAAACAGTGATGGCAAAGCAGAATTCAGAGCAGTCTTCAGTATCACATGATCCTAATATGTGACCCTGGACCACAAAACCAATCTTAAGTCGCTGGGGTATATTTGTAGCAATAGACAAAAATACATTGTATGGGTCAAAATTATTGATTTTTCTTTTATGCCAAAAATCATTAGGATATTAAGTAAAGATCATGTTCCATGAAGATATTTTGTAAATGTCCTACTGTAAATATATCAAAACTTAATTTTTGATTAGTAATATGCATTGCTAAGAACTTCATTTGGACAACTTTAAAAGCGATTTTCTCAATATTTTAATTTTTTTGCACTCTCAGATTCCAGATTTTCAAATAGTTGTATCTCGGCCAAATATTGGTCTTGGCCTCAGAAAAATCAAGGGTCAGAAAAATTTACCGTTTATGCCTGGTTTTGTGGTCCAGGGTCACATATGCGAATTTGCTGCTCATTTCCATTATTTCTATCAATTTTGAAAGCAGTTGTGCTGCTTAATTAATTTTTGTTGAAACTGCGATACTTTCTTAATGAATACGAAGTTCAAAATAGCAGCGTTTATTTGAAATGGGGATCTTTTGTAACCATATAAATGTCTTTACTATCACTTTTGATCAATTTCATGCATCCTTGCTGAATAAAAGTATACTTTTTTTTTTTTTTTTTTTTAAATCATACTACCCTCAAACTTTTGAACAGCAGTATAACAGTGGTTTGGAATAAGATTGCATGTCTGCTTTCTAGCCGTCAAGGGATTTGATCATTCACAAAATTATAAGAATAAACTCCAATTATTTTTCCTCGCTATTAAGCGTTCTACATTCAATCCTAATTCAATTCAAATTCCAAAGCATTACAATGCCTATGAAATATCTCACAGAGGGAGCTTACAAAGGAAAAAGGACTTCCATGTTAAAATGTGTTACAGATTGGACAGTAATGGACTATGTACTGAAATATTGTGTTAAACAGCCAAGCAATTCTGCATTTGTATTACAACCTACAAACTGTGTTACATATATACATTGGCCATTGAACACCCTCATCTGTAGATATCAGTATCAGCACTGACCTTTTGAAGAACTCGTATCGGTCGGAAGACCACTGGAACAGTCACAACAGTGAATCTCATGGGGTCTTTATCAGATTTACTAAATGATGGATTTTGTGCCCATTTTTATTGACCAAAATAAAAATACAACTTAAATGCTGAATGCACAAAGTAAAAACAAGCTGTATATGATACCAATATCTTGTTTTGTCTTGTGAGATTAAATTGTAAGCTACTGAAAGACTTGCTTTGTGCTTCGGTCAGAGGACAGTGAGGTCATAATCATTATGTTTTATAGACTAGCCCAGAGATATATTGGTTATCAAAAAGATTTTCAGAATCTTCAGATAGAAATTATCAGAAGCGGCTGTAAAGAAGAACTGATAAAAGTATTGACACAGATATATACTATGCCGAGTATTAAGAAAGTGTTCAGGTTAATAAACCTCACAACTGTAAACGGTCTCTATCTACAAATGACACACTTTCATCAGTTCATCTGATTTGTGCAGGTCAAATGATTTATAAAAATAAATTAAAAAAAACATGACTGTGAGTCATATAAGATGGAGATAAACCAACAAGGGCAAGAGGACATTATACACTTGATAGAGTATGCCTATTATGAACATTATATATTTGAATGAATGTGAGATTTTTTTAAAGATGTATTATTAAACTAAACTAAAATGAAGGTACACGTTTTCCACCGTAAAAGCCATTTATCCCCAAAAATATGTTTAAAATGATCTATACTCACATGGGACTTAATGAAAAACTAACTAATGAAAAATATTACTTACTTTATTTTGGCTACCAAAATCAAATGTGACCCTGGACCACAAAACCAGTCATAAGGGTCCATTTTTTGAAATTGAGATTTATACATCATTTGAAAGCTGAATAAATAAGCTTTCCATTGATGTATGGTTTGATAGGATAGGACAATATTTGGTCTGGAATCTGGAATCTGAGGGTGCAAAAAAATCTAAATACTGAGAAAATCGCCTTTAAAGTTGTCCAAATGAAGTTCTTAGCAATGCATATTACTAATCAAAAATTAAGTTTTGATATATTTACGGTAGGAAATTTACAAAATATCTTCATGGAACATGATCTTTACTTAATGTCCTAATAATTTTGTGCATAAAAGAAAAATAGATCATTTTGACCCATACAATGTATTTTTGGCTATTGCTAAAAATATACCCAAGCGACTTAAGACTGGTTTTGTGGTCCAGGGTCACAAATCGGCATATTATAGCACGATTTCTTAAGCATTATGCAACATTATGCAAGCATTATGACCTGAGTAGGCGGTTGTTCTCCTCCTCAGCATAAGGAGACGTGACATTTATTGCAGTGTCATTATGTTGAATGAACTTCAAGAATTCTGTTGAATCCAGCTGAGCATCTCCATTATCATAGTTCTGTTGAAACACGAACAGCATTAAATAAACGTGTGAGACACACCGGCATTTCTGAAGACGAATACATTGTGTTCAATGAATCAATATGTTGATGCACACACACACACACACACACACACATACAAACCTGGAAGTATTTGAGGAGGACATCTGAGAAGTTGGATCCTTTAGAAAACCAGCCGTCAGGCTCCGCCTCAGACTGCAGCCATTCAATCACACGACTCCTCAACTCATTGCGGTCCGTAAGGTAACAAACAACTAAATAATTTAAAAAAACAGGACAAATAGGCCCAACATGTTACAATTGCACTATACATCTGAAAACTAAGTAACTTTATGCCTTTTCAAAACATATTGACCACCATCTTTGGCCCAGTCAGACTCCATTGGAATAGATAAAGATTAAAATGAAAATATAATCCTTTGTTTTCAATCACTATCTACTATATTAGTAATTTTAAGTCCTATATCACATATTTCATTCAGTCCAAACAAAACTGTATTGAATGTTATATGGTAGACTCTAACAATAAAAAGGCATAATTCCACATTTTTAATAAAATATTGAATGATACTCAGTTCTCAACCTAAAAGATGTGTTTACTTACTTGGGCTGTTGGTGACTTTTTCCAATGTTTTCTCTAAACGAGAAGAGACAGAAACCAGGTCAGTGAGTTTCATCAACAACTGAAAACAGGAGATGCTTTTTCTTCTTGCATATTTATGTATTCAAATGTGGCCAATTGTAGTGACATTTCTGAAAGGAAATGGCTGCAATTATTTAAATTCCTAGGCAACAATGACATTTCCTATTAACATCTATGATAGTGGTTTGTGGTGAAGCATCTACACATACTCATCATTGAAATGGAAAGGTCTGTTATGTGTATTGTAGTATTCCATGAATGCAACTATGTTATGCTATGTGAACACTAGCTATTAAAGAAAACACTATAAACCTGTTAAATGGAGAGCACATACACACTTACCTTCACAATGTCCATCATGGGCAACCTGAACTTTGAGTCCGGTGAGACAGGCATCACGATGCAGCTCACAGTGATTACGGTACGTCTTCCCATTACTACCACAAACTGGACGCTTATGGGGTTTACATTGCTGATCAAGACACAGACACACAGTGAAATAAGTGTACATTCAAGATATCCATGTTATTTATTTCAGTTGTTCTCAACTAGTGGATGTTGAATCAAAGAAAATGGATCACGGGTCTGTTATAACAGAAAATGACAAAAAAGATTATGACAATTAACTATGTGCATATTTGGATAGCAAATAAATAAATAAACTTTTAAAATGTTAAAAAGTAAAAACTCATTTCATGTTTAGTTGTTTAAAGGCTGTGTGTCCAATACAATTCACCTGTTATTTTAATATTAACTCAAACTAATAACCGACAATATCTGATCCAATGTTTGTTGCAGGATGGTAAGTTACAATTCTGTTGTTATTTATAAATTTAAGTGTGTGTGTGTGTGTGTGTGTGTGTGTGTGTTTGCGTGTGTGCGTGCGCGTGCGTGTGTGTGTGTGTGTGTGTGTGTGTGTGTGTGTACAAAATTAAGCAATTTTTTCCTCCAAAGTTGAAGCGAAAATCTGATATGGCAATAATCTTAAATAAAACAACAGCCAATTCAAATATGCTGCATGATATGGTTTCAAAAAGTATGGACTGTGTGTGTGTGCGTGCGTGTGTGTGTGTGTGTTTTCCTGTCATGTTTTAATGTTATTTATTTTCCATATTGTTTGGATGTTGCAGTTCGTGGTTTTTTTTTTTTAATTGTCTGATTTGAAGGACATTTTTGTTTACTTGTGTATGGTAAAATATTTTGGTAAGCTACTTGTTGGGTCACCACTTAATGGCCAAAAATGAAAAACCTAGTCTAGCCATGTAAAACACCTAGTTTGTTTATAAAACAGTAAGGGGCAAATGTGGGCGATAATGCCACAGTGGGAAACAGGGTTGCCAATTATCTGGTTCTACTTGTAAACTGTTCCTGCAGGTTTGTTGGTTACTTTATTTATTTAACATTAAAGTTGAAATTTTAACATATTGCATAAATAATGTTTAACTGAAATGCTTGCATTGAAAAACTTATTCTGTATTATGTATGTATATATTTTTCCAGAGAAAGAAGTAACAGAGTAAAGCTATTTTGTCAGGAAAGGGCTTTTATGAACTCCTATGAGCTCCTTTATAAAAACTATTACTACTACTATACATTATTTTTCGAGATCAAGGGTAAAATACAGGTGCATCTCAATAAATTAGAATGTCGTGGAAAAGTTCATTTATTTCAGTAATTCAACTCAAATTGTGAAACTCGTGTATTAAATAAATTCAGTGCACACAGACTGAAGTAGTTTAAGTCTTTGGTTCTTTTAATTGTGATGATTTTGGCTCACATTTAACAAAAGGTATGGGAGTGGCTTTTAGAGTTATGGTAGTTGGTTCAATTGATCATTGGTCTACTTTAGTACTAGTTTTGTAAAGCAGATCTGGTGGGAAAGGCAGCATGTGTTTTTTGTTTTGTTTTCTCGGAGTCCCGGTGAATGTGTGGCTGAATACAATAATGACTCACCTCAATACACAGACAGCTTGGTTCTCCTTTCTCTGTCACAGCACATTCTCTCCCAGCTCCACAAAACACATTGGCACAAACTTTACTTTTACTCCTTACCTCCTGCACAAAACACAGAGAAACAAAGAGTTGGCCTACAGTATTGTCACAACGCTGTCAAACAGCGTATACAGGATCTTTTCGATTTGACAGTGACATTTAGTGTTGTGCTTTGGCTCAAACTAGTGGTGAAGAGGGGAAACTCCTCAGAAATGATAGCGGTTATAATATAGGTTTATGCTGAAGGGCCTATAGTTTTAGTACTTTTTATTACTTAGTTTTAAAGTAATAGTTCATGTAGTCCAAATACTAAACGCCAAACACTAACTAATCCCATTTTTATCGGTAAAGACAAACCTGCGTATTTTAGATGTAACCACAAGATGGCAGGCTATGATACATTATATAAAAATGCACTGGTTCACGTCTAACAAAACCTGAGGCTGAACTGTGTACTAAAATGACAATCAAGTTGCTGTTTTCTTTATTTGGTAACATCCAAATAACAAATGATCCAATTACACAGACCCTAGTCGTACAAAAGTGCACTTTATGTACTCTTGTCCACCATGTTTGTAAAAATAAACAGAACTTGCTCATTCACTCTCTTCAGACAGGTCCTGCCCTTTTGTTGTGCCTTCTGATTGGTGCAGACTGAAGTGAAAGCCGCCCTGACACAGCTCCAGATGGGAGCAAGACCTGTTGTTCTTTGCCATCTAATAAAGAGGGTGAGTAACAAAGAGTCTGACCATGACAATACACCAGCACATGCTGTCACTCACACATAAAAGCAGCACCACACAACTGCAAGACAGATGGCACCCCCCCCCCCCCCCCCCCCCACACACACACATACAAACCAACTGCAACATCTGTGTATCCTAATGTGTTCTGATCCTTCTACAGGAAAATCATTTGTACTAGTATACTATCGAAAAATCATTTTTAAGCAGCAGTCGTTTTTGAGCTACCTCTTTGCAGTCTTTCACCTCTGTCAATGTTTTATTTTATTGTTTAATTTATTTCATTTTATTTAAAGTGCAACCAAAAAAGACCAAAATAGATCACTGGTAATATTCTTATAATATAATATAATATAATATAATATAATATAATATAATTAATATCATATCATATCATATCATATCATATCATATCATATAATATGTAACCCTGGACCACAAAACCAGTCATAAGAGTCAATTTTTTGAAAGTGAGATTTATACATCATCTGAAAGCTAAATCGATAAGCTTTCCATTGATGTATGGTTTGTTAGGATAGGACAATATTTGGCCGAGATACAACTATTTGGGAAAAAAATCAAAATATTGAGAAAATTGCCTTTAATGTTGTCCAAATGAAGTTCCTCTTCAGGAACTCGAGCTGCGTCGGAGAACGCTTTAGGAATGCCTTCTATGACCACGCTCTGAATCACATGTGAAATCAGTCCAATAGCTGGGCGAGACGTCACGGGCAGGTGACGTCATGACCAGGAAGCTATAAAAGCATGTGCGGCGGAGCCATCATCAGCTTTCTGTCATTCAGCAAAGCGCTCTGTGTGTGTCAGTCAAAACTCTTTGTTTGTGGGTCCTATTTATTGTTGTCTGTCAAAAAAAGTGCAGCTATAAGCTCCACTATGTCTAAAGCTCACATTAAGACAAAGCATGCAAAGGGCGAGAGCAAGCCATGTTATAGATTGCGTTCCTCCCTGCCCACGCTACATCACGGGTGGGGATACACACAGTCTGTGCGTGGTTTGTTTGGGAGTGGAGCACGCAGAGTCTGCTCTCGAGGGGGCTGGCTGCCCGCATTGCGAGCGTCTCCCACTGCGTACGCTTCACTACTTAAAGAGCTAGACCTGCTTAAAGAGCTAGATGAGGGCGAGGAGCTTAACTCTGATAACATAACTCTCTCAACGCCACACAAGGACACCGCCCGCGCCATTGGACGGTCCATGGCAGCTATGGTGGCAGCAGAGAGGCATTTGTGGTTGACCCTGTCTGATATGAAAGAGAAAGACACGGTCTTCCTCTTCGACGCCCCGCTTGTGCCTTCTGGCCTGTTCGGCGACGCCGTCAATTCCGTCGTTGACAGGTACCAGGAGGCTCGTAAACAGGTGGCGGCGTTTCAGCCGGTTCCTCCCTCGCCGCATCTCAGCTCTGGGGGCTGCTGGGCGGGAGCAGTCCCCTCCGCGTACCAGCTCCTCGTATAGGGAGGCTCAGAAAAAGAGGGTCGGGGGCTTCGAAGCCTAGGCCGGATCGACCAAAAAAGTCCTGACTATTCTGGCTCAGGACTGGTGAGGGCAGGCCCTTCTGGGGAAGAGAGGTTCACACTGCATTACACGGTGCCCATCTCCCCCCAGTGCCCTCAGGAGATCATTCTGCCAACCCTGCCGGTGTTCCAGGGTGCAGCGGTCTCCAGCGAGCGTTTCTTTCAGTTACCGCCCGGCAACGTAGCGGTGCTGAGAGTGCTGATTCCCTTAGTAGATTATTTAGCAGCGTGGAAGCTACTGCCAAATGTGTCTCAATGGGTCCTGCGTACTGTAGAAAGAGGCTACAGAATCCAGTTCGGTTCTCCTCCGCCTCGATTCAACAGGGTCACCCCCACTCTGGAGGGTCCCGAGCAGGCTCTGGTATAAGAACAAGAAGTAGTTACTCTCTTAAAGAAGGAGGCCATCGAGGTGGTCCCTCCGCATGAGAGTCCGGGTTCTACAGCGGTACTTCATTGTTCTGAAGAAGGATAGAGGGTTGCGTCCTATCTTAGATCTGCGTCAGTTGAACCGCTCAGTCATGCGATTGAAGTTCAGAATGCTCACGCTCAAACAAGTCGTGTCTCAGATCAGGTCCGAGGACTGGTTTGTCACGATCGATCTAAAAGACGCATTCTTCCATGTCTCCCTCCTTCCTCATCACAGGAAGTTCCTGAGGTTCGTTTTTGGGGGCAAAGCTTACCAATATCGTGTTCTTCCTTTCGGCCTTGCACTCTCACCCCGCACTTTCACGAAGTGTGTGGATGCTGCTCTGGCTCCATTGTGACTCCAGGGCATCCACATACTCAACTACATCGACGATTGGTTGATATTAGCTCATTCAGAGCAGGTAGCGGTTCGACATCGAGATATCGTTCTCGCTCACATGAGAGAGTTGGGGTTAAGACTAAACGCCAAGACGAGTGTGCTTTCTCCATTACAGAGGACCACCTATCTGGGCATGGTGTGGGATTCAACCACGATGCAGGCACGTTTGTCCCCTGCATGGATCGAGTCGATCCTCACTGCAGTCAAGAGAGTGAAAGAAGGCCAGTCACTCACTGTCAAGCAGTTTCAAAGACTGCTGGGTCTGATGGCAGCTGCGTCCAACGTGATTACTCTTGACCTGCTGTACATGAGACCCCTACAGTGGTGGCTCAAGACCAGGGGGTTCTCCACAAGGGGAAACCCGTTTTGCATGCTCAAGATCACGTGGAGATGCCTACGTGCCTTAGACATGTGGAGGAAACCTTGTCGCCGCGTCCCTCACCGGTTGGGGTGCGGTCATGAGTGGCCACCCTGCCTGCGGTCTGTGGAGTGGTCGCCATCTGACGTGGCATATCAATTGTCTGGAGATGCTGGCCATGTTTCGAGCACTGAAACACTTTCTCCCAGACCTAAGAGGTCACCATGTGTTGGTGCGCACCGACAACACAGCGGTGGTCTCTTACATCAACCACCAGGGAGGTCTGCGTTCGCACCCCTTGTACAAGCTGGCGCACCAGATCCTTGTGTGGTCCCAGGGGAAACTCCTCTCGCTGAGAGCAGTTCACATTCCTGGGCATCTCAATATGGGAGCAGACATCCTGTCGAGGCAGGGGCCGAGGCCCGGGGAATGGAGGCTTCACCCCGAGGTGGTGAAGCAGATATCGAGAGTTTTTGGCCAGGCTCTGGTGGACCTGTTTGCGACTCAGATGACATTGCACTGTCCCCTCTGGTTCTCTCTGATTCATCCAGCTCCACTGGGGCTGCTCCCGGGAGTTCTGGAGAGAGTGCGCCGGGACGGAGTCCGTCTACTGTTAGTAGCCCCGTTCTGGCTTGGCTGAGTATGGTTCTCGGACCTGATTTCCCTTCTCAATGGCTCTCCATGGGAGATTCCCATCAGGAGGGACCTCCTCTCACAAGCGGAGGGCACGATATTTCACCCCCGCCCGGAGCTGTGGAAGTGGAGACACCCCCGGTTACACGTTTCCTCCACGGTGCGCTGAGGCTTTTCATGTGTCTTCATTGAGGAGAGGATTGAGTTTGGCCACTCCGACATAAAGCCCAGATCGGTGGAGTGTAGCAGTGATATTTGTCCTTCTCTAGATTTCTCCCATCTGCATATACGATCATGGAGCTCAACTAGAGTGACCATCATGGTCTTGGTCACCACTCTAACCAAGAACCTTTTCCATCAATTGCTCAGTTTGGCCAGGAGGCCAGCTTTAGGAAGAGTCCTGGCTGTTTCAAACTTCTTCCATTAAGGGTAACAGAGACTACATGCTTCTGTGATCCTTCAATGAAGCAGATTTTTTTCTGAAATCTTCCACTGATGTGTGGCTTGACACAAACCTGTTTCTGAGCTCTACAGGCAGTTTTTTTTTACCTCAGGACTTGGTTTTTGCTCTGATATGCATTATCAGCTGTTAGACCTTTTATTAAGATGTGTGTGCATGTCCAAATCATACCCATTCAATTGAATTTGCCACAGGTTAACCTCACTCAAAGTGTAGTAACATCTATAAACAATTTGAATGCTCCTGAGCTAAATTTCAACTGTCCCAGATATGAATACTTATGCAATGGAATCATTTCAGTTTTTTATTTTTAATAAATTTGCAAAGATATTAAAAACCTGTTTTTTGCTTTACCATTATGGTGCATGGAGTGTAGATTGATGTGGGGAAAAAAGTAATTTAAAACAGTTTAGCATAAGGCAGCAACTTAACAAAATGTGAAAAAAAAACTAAGGGGTATGAATATTTTCGCATGGCACTGTATATATATTCCAAGAGATATTCTTTCTCTATTCTATTATATATTCTGGCATAGCATAGCATAGCACATTGTACATGACATATATACTGTATGTTTAGTGAAAGAGTGGCAAATGGAGCATTATCTTTTCAAAACGCCCAGAGGAGGTACTCACCAGTGCAAGTGCTTACTTGTTGGCTCAGGACAGACTACATCTGTGTACAGAATGTCCAGGAAGATGCAGTACATGTATAATTGGATACATGTCGACATACAGCCTGGAGACATCTGTCCATCTCTACATGCCCTGTGACCCCTCAACTCTGACCTTTAACTTCTCACTGGGAAGACTGTGGGACACAATAGAATGGTATCTCAAGGAAGTGAGAAAAAGGGATTATGATTTAAGGGGATCATGTAGGGTGGAGCAGCACAATGTGAGCTGGCAGATGCTTCTCTCTCTCTATCAAATGGGAATGTGTGCACGTGCAATGAATATTTCACATAAAATGTGCATTGGGTACCAGTAATATGATCTCACGTGGGGAATGTGTCAGAGTTTTCCAGTGGTGTGTGTGTGTGTGTGTGTGTGTGTGTGTGTGTGTGTGTGTGTGTGTGTGTGTGTGTGTGTGTGTGTGTGTGTGTTATCGCGAGGTAGTGTGGGGGAGCATAAGGTGTGTCTT